AGTTAATAAATATTCTTGCAAAACTTCAAGAATTGTAAAATAAATAGTTCCAGCACTATGTTTTTCTTATAATGGTTTAAAACCTATCAATTTTTGTTGTAAACCCCAATTATGATCTAAGAAATGTACTGTGACAGTTAAAAAATCGGTTTTTGATCTACAAGCCATAGCTGTGATGTAAGTGCAATAGATATATTCCTAAAATTTTGAAATTCGTTTTTAAATTTATTATTTATTTTGTTATAAAGTTTTAGTATATCTCTTCTACTTGTAGTTCTACTAACAGGGTTATATGCTGGACAAAATGTAGTTTTAACCATATAAATAAAAAAGGATTTTCAGATAAACAAATGGGAGAGTCCGTAGCAACTATAAATCTTGTTATTTCCTTCGTGCAACAGTGCATTGTATTGCATGTTGAGAGAGTTGAGGATTGTGGATTAAAATTAAGTTCAGATTGAATTTGTCTACCTGATCCGCTTGAAGATGCATCAGGAATGCATATTTGGGGGTGCTTCTCTCCACGTGTCGTGTGATCGTCGAAGTCCCATTCTCAGCGCCAATAATGGTTCCACAGAAATTACATATCCCACACATTCTTCCCCTCCCCATTTGTCTTTGGCCGTTTGATTTGGTGAAGTATCGTCATACATCGGACACGACTCTTTGACGGCGGGGGCGTTGGGCTATGCTGTGCCCGTTGACTCGCAGCTCGCATGTGTTTGGCTACACCTCATCCCGATCGAATGTGGTTGTGATTGCAATTGCTTCCTCTAGAGGAAATGGTGAAAATGGATTGAAGCCTTTCGTTTCTTCGGTGGATGGAACGTAAAACTCATTTGGGGAAGCATTATAAATTTATGATAAAATAAAAATAATTAAAATGAAAAGAATTAAATAATAATATGAAATTATGATGATATTGAAAAATAGAAAAAAATTGATAATAAAATAAATTATATAAATAAAATAAATTGAATGAGAAATTGATTGGAGATTTGGAGTAGAGAGATTGAGAGAATGAGGATTGGTTGGGGTGGAAAAATGAAAGATTTTAGGGATTTATAGTTTAGTTGTATTGGGGGGAGGGTGGGGGGAATGAAAAAAAAAAAAAAAAGGTTATAATTTTATTATAACCGTTGGCTGGCATGTGACCGTTGCCAGCCAACGGTAAAGAAAAATATTTAACCCGATTAGTCAAACTTTTTGTTTTTTTTTTTTTTTTAAAATAAATTTTGTAAAGGGGGGGGGGGGGTGGGGGGAGCCAACGGTAAAAAAAAATATTTAACCCGGTTAGTCAAACTTTTTTTTTTTTTTTTATAAATTTTGTTTTAGCCCTCGTAATTTATGTCTATTTAAAATTTGCAGAGGATTTTATGTAATTTGACAGGGGGCTACATTGAAAAAAGCCAAAAAAATTTGGGCCCAGTGGAGGGCCCATGCCCTCCTCCTTAGGCCTGGTCCGTTTCAGGACCAAGCCTCCTAGGACCAGGTTTTTGGGCTGAGCTTTTGGGCCCAGTCCCAAATGCCCACCTCTAATGATGAGGAACCTACGGGTCACACACACTAAGGAGACAGTTTAAGGATGGTTAACTATGGAAAGATATTTTCGTCTTTTGGACAAAAGGGCATATTGGTAATTTTGATGTGTAATTAAATTTACTAAGGTTGTAGCTTGTGTCCAATTTTGTTGGAATAATTTAGCAAAATTACGAGTTTAATTATTGAAGTTAATATTAATATTTAACTAAATAATTAAACAGGGGCCTATGTGCGATTCCAACTAAGTTAGGTTGTTGCTAAACTTTGGGGGTGGAATTGATATTTGGCTTTTCTATATAAAGAAAAGCAAAATAGGTTTTGTAGAGAGAATTCATTATTCAGCCGTGGGAGTGAAAAAATTTGAGAGAATTTTTTTTTCTCTTCATCTCTTTTCACTTTATCCTTACAAACCTTGAATCCTTAAAGCCAAGGATTGGTTCTAGCAAAACCAATCTTTGATCTTTAATGTACTGTCTTCATGTGGATGACGTGAGTTTGATCTTACACTTGGATCGGTTGTGAGATCGCTTTCAGAGATATTAACGAAGCCTCCAAACGCTGTATGATCCGATCCTTGCTTGGATTTATGTTATTTCAATTTAAACATGTAATATATATATATATATATATATATATCAAACCCTGATCTTGGGTTTATCAAATTAATCGATGAGAAAAATTTTGTTTTTTGCTGTATTTATCCCATCGATTTACTTACAATATGGATTTCAATTCAAAATATTAGCTACTTATGTCTCACTGGTCACTACATTGATGAGAATTGGGTTATACATAAAAGAATTCTTAGTTTTGTGTCCATTAGTAGTCACAAGGGAAGGGAGATAGGGAAAGTGGTTGAGAAGTGCATTTTCGATTGGGGTATTGAAGATAAAGTGTCTACTATAACGGTGGATAATGCTAGTGCTAATGACGTGGCAATCGCTTACTTGAGGGGCAAATTAGCACTACTTTTGGTGGTGAGTTCTTCCATATGAGATATACTGCTCATATTATGAATTTGATCGTGAAGGATAGTCTTAGTGAGACAAAGGATTGTACTAGCCAAATTCAGAATTCGGTCAAGTATGTGAGGAGTTCCCTTGGTAGAGCTGAAACATTTCAGAGATGTGTGAAAGAAGAAAGGATTACTTATAAAGGTGGTGTGTGTCTTGATGTTGCTACTAGATGAAATTCCACTTATTTGATGTTAGAAGTTGTGGTAAAATTCAAGAAAGCTTTTCAAAGGTTGGAAGATGAGGATCCCAACTATGTTACGGATTTGTCAGTTGATACACCTTCTGACGAAAAGGAAAAAGCAAATGTATTTGCTAAATTCCTTAGAAAAATTTATGAAGCTACAAAAAAAAAGTCAAGGTCGAACTATGTCAGTTCTAACACTTACTTTCAAGAGACAATTGGTATTGTACTTTGTTTGAATGATTGGGAGAGAAAGACACAAATCCAATATTTAACATGTCAAAGAAAATGAAAAAGAAGTTGGATAAGTATTATGGAAGTGTTGATAGATCGAACATGATGATATTGATTGCAGCGGTTTTAAATCATCGGTTTAAAATAAAATGTGTGGAGTGGGGGTACAAAAAGATTTATGGCAATAATTTGCAAAAGGTTGGGTTGATGTCTAGAAAGTTGAGAGATTTGTTACAACGGTTGTATGATTTTTATGTGGAGCTTGTATCAAGTTTCCAAGAAAGCCAAGCTTTCAGTTCTTCCTAAATTACGGGATTTGGCCAGTCTTTAGCTGCTGGTGTGAGTTATGATGATAGTGAGTATCACCGCTCCTTAGATGAGTATGAGGAGGAGATGGAGATAGAGGTTCATGATATGACCAAATCAGAGTTAGAACTTTATCCTGAGGAGAAATGCCTACCTGTGAAGTCCAACTTGAACATACTAGATTGGTGGAAAGTAAATGCTGCAACGTATGAGGTTCTCTCGCATATGGCAAGAGATATGTTTGACATTCCGGTATCTAAAGTTTCTTCTGAGTCAGCTTTCAGTACATCGGATCGTATACTTGATCAATTTCGAAGTTCTTTAAGTACACCCGTTGTGGAAGCATTAGTTTATGCACAAGATTGGTTGAGATATGCATATACCCCAACTACTTTTGAGGATTACTTGATGAATGCAGAAAGATATGACTCAGGCAACAATATAATATCAATCTTTTATATTCATATTTAGTTAATTTATTCCCAAATAATTGTATTAAATATTTTAAACTTATTAATTGACTTTCTTGTATTTATTTTGTAGAAATTAATGCACATGAGGCAAGCAATTTAGAGGAGCATACGATATTTTCAATTTTTCATATTTGGATATTGTTAATTGTTATGTTACTTATTTTATATGTTATGTAATCTCATCATTTTAGTTTTGGAGTTTGTAATTTTGAATTTGTGATTTTTAACAGATAATTGTAATATTTTAATTTTGAATTTGTGATTTTCAACGAATTATTTTAATTTTGGAGTTTGTAATTTATAATTTTATTTTTGTTAACAAGTGCCATTTTTTTGTCATTTTAAAAACTTTTGGGGAGTAATGAATTTTACAGGGTATCGAAAACCGAAACCAGAACTATTGTTACAGGTTCTGGTTCTGGGTACCTAGGAACCAGAACCGTCGGTTCCGGTTCCAGTTTCGGTTCATTCAAAAAATGCAGGGTACCCGGAACCAAACACGCCTACAAGGTAGGGTGATATTTGGGGTTTTTTTGCAAATTGAGAGGTGTCAAGGTGAACTAGTGTATATTTCGGGTTTTTTTTTTTTTTTTTTTTTTTTTTTTTAGGCGAGCCCAAGGAGGCTCGCGAGCCGAGTGCCCTCAGGCTCGGTACTCAGCTCGTAAATCTGTCAAACTATTTGAGCTCTAACTCGACTCGATTGCACCCATAAATTGGTGGAATCTATTCTTCACATACTTACCAAATTTTGAAGTCAATCACCTAAAAGCTTTCTATCAGCTTCCATTACTGATTTAAAACATTGGAGAGGTCACGTTGGCAACCATTTGATGTCCCTACTAACATAATGTTTAACTTTATGCGATTAAATATAAACGAATCTCGGACATAAATTGAAATAAAAACTAGGCATATCAATTTTTCGCTCAAACAAGTTCTATTTCCAATATGTCTAACCTACAATTTATATTCTAAATTCTTCTCCTAGTTACCTAAAGTCTAAAACTTTATTTTCGCGGGATGACTTATCATTTGCCTTATTTTAATAAAATTTAATAATAAGGATAAAATGTGGTGGTCCATATTCCATAATAGATATATGCGAAAGGCGGTTGATCTTAAAAAGTTCATATTTAGAAAGAAAAAAAATAAAATAAAAAAAAAATAAAAAAAAATGTAGAAAGTGGGAGCCCACAAGTTGACCCATAAGGCACGTGTGTTTGACCAGCCCCACCGCCCGATCCGCTCTATGCGCTTTGCTTTCGTTTTCTTCTAAATCCCCGTTCATTCTGTAAACTCAAAACATCCATCCTCACCCCTTGGATCATGCTCATCCTCACCGTCCGTCTCCCTCCCTTTACTTCTCCATTCTCGGATTTGAAAATGCACCCATCACCCATCCCTTTTCTTTTCTCCTAGTCTTTATTTTATTTATTTATTTTATTTTATTTTTTAACCAACTCTCTCTCCTTCTCTATTATGTCTGATTTGGTCGCTCGTACTGGTCGCCATCAGCAACGTTACGACCAGGGTTATCGTCTTGTCGCTGGGTACGTATTTGTAATTTGTTATTTGTATTTGTGTTTGCAATGTGGAAATTTAATATGAATGGAAATTCTTAATTTTGTATTGCTTATTTGAATGTTGAGGTGCTTTTAGCGAATGGATTTTTTTTTTGTTTTTGTGAATAGATTTATGTGTAATTTTGATTGTTTTGGTTGAAATGGTAATGCAAATTTGATTTATGCCATTCTTCCTAGAATGGTGTTAGTTTTTTGGTGATGTTTTGTGATCATTTTTGCTCTTGCATGTGTATTTGAAGTGGGTTTGAGAATGGGGTTGTGGAGTACTTTTATGTTATGAGTAAAAGTTAATGAATTGTTTTGTTTTGTTTTATAATTGCAATGTGGCAATTTAATATGAGTGGGAATTCTTAATTTGGCATTGATTCTTTGCATGTTGAGGTGATTTTAGGAAATGGGTATTTTTTGTTTTTGTGAATAGATTTATGTGTGATTTTGATTGTTTTGGTTGAAATGGTAATGCCAAATGCGAATTTGATTTATGCCCTTTTTCGTAGAATGGTGTTAGTTTTTTTGGTGATGTTTTGTGATCACTTTTGCTCTTGCATGTGTGTTTGAAGTGGGTTTGAGAATGGAGTTGGGGAGTACTTTATGATATGAGTAAAAGTTGATGGAATGGTTTTTTTTCAGAGAATTGGGACAATTTATATGAATGGCATTTCCTAATTTTCTTTGATGGTTTGAATGTTGAGGTGATTTTAGCGAAATGTTATGTTTTGTTTTGGTAATAGATTTATGTGTGGTTACATGCAAATTTGATTTAAGTTTTTTGGTGGTGCTTTGTAATCATTTTTGCCCTTGCATGTGTACTTGTAGTTGATAAAAATGGATGGTTATGGGAATTGGAATAGATATTGGTGACAATGGAGAGGGGTCTTGGTGGAGAAGTATAATTTTAGAAGATGAGTTTGGGATGATGGCGATGTGGCGTCTTGACATTATAATTTTTTAAAATGGTTAAATGACATAGTAGGCTATTCTTGGAGGATGACCTAAGGGTGCCTGCACCTTTGTTGCAGGTGCCGATGATTTTTGAAAGTGTTTATTTGGCATGGAAGATTCGTGATTTTCGAATAATATGGCATTATATATGAGTTGATTGAAATGTTTTTCTAATTTTAATATCTTGGTAGATTGGCTTATCATAGAGCAACATGTTTTGGCCTTCAGGAATATGTAGGCACTGCTTGTAAATTTTGTATTTTACCTGCATCTTCTTATACAGAATAAAATAATTTTTTTGCTTTCCAACTTATTATGGATGGAAATGTCACTATATGATTTGTAGAAAATTAATTATATAACAGAATTAGAGAATAGAAAAATTGAAATTTGATTTTTATACTTTGTTTTTACAGGATGTTAGATTTGGTGAGGATGAAATATTTTAGGTTGAAATGCATCCAACTTTTTTCTTGGCTTTTGAATGCTACACCTTTTGAAATGTTGAATATAGATGGGAGATACCTTTCCTTTTATTGTAAAGTGATATGCAAATCAGTTTGTTGTTTGTATGAAATTCTTTTTCATCTGTGCCACAGGTTGTCTGAGCAAGCTTCATTCATTTATCTGAGGCATAGCATGTTAAAAACAAAAATACAGTTTGTGAGTGTGTTATGTTTGCTGCTTCAAAATATTATTAAACAGATCTCTAGATGCTAATCTTCCTGAATTCTTTTCAACAGGTGTATCCCATTTAGGTATAGAAATGCTGAGTGTGGCAATGATGATTCTGAGAAGATTGTTGAGGTGCTTATGATTAGCTCAACTAGTGGACCAGGTCTCTTGTTTCCAAAGGTATAATTGCATTTTCTTTCCTTTACTAATTTTTTTTTTTTCATTGACTGTTATGAAATTTTCTTGTTACTATGTTTCACTATTAATTTAGAGTACAATTACTTGTTTTATGTTGAATAAATAATTAGATTTTATAGCAAAAAAATATTATTTGATCCGACATAGTCAACGAGATTGACATCTTGCTTACTGGATTTTTCTTAATTTGGGAGCATGCTTGTCACCAATTCGCTTACTGTGTTATCTTTTTTTAAGGAGGTTGTCATACTAAACTTCCTGATTCCTGCCATTCTTGATCACAGACCTTGAATTAGCTTAGTGTGATCGAGTCCAGTTTTAGTCTTAAGTTATTACTTAATCTTCAAGAGATTTAAATTCTGTTCTTTAGTGGTTCTTCAGACAGATAGGGAGATAAAACTCTGTTCTTTGGAAGACTAATTCCAGATTCACATAACACACAAGATTGTTCTGAATTTCTATAATTAGATGAGATTATTTTCAAAACATTTTTTTCCTGAAAAGTTTTTTTTAACAAGGCGTAATTTGATAATGTGATATGTGGTTTAGAGTTGAAGAGTGACTTAGAAAACTATGTAGATTATGTTGGTGAACACAATGAAAAGTTTAAAAGTATAAAACAACGAGAAATATGAGAATAAGACAACTGATGTTGTGAACCAGACCTCAAGTGATATTATTTCAAGATGATTCTCAATTAATGTATTGGTGAAAAAGTTTTGTTGAAATCTCAAACAGTGTAATTAAGTCAAGGTTTCTGGTGATGTTCCCTGTGTGATTTTTCTTGATTAGGACTAGTTTCACTCAATGTTAAATGGAAGGTTTAATTGTGTTTTTTTAATATTTAGGAATAGGGATTATTTCAGAAATTTCTATTAAAAACTCTTTATACAGGGAGGCTGGGAGAATGATGAAACAGTTGAGCAGGCTGCAGAAAGGGAAGCTGTTGAAGAAGCTGGAGTTCGAGGGCAACTAATGGTGAAATCTTACTTCCTGTATATGCATTCTTATGTGTTTTGAGATGGATTGACTGTTATTTGTTATATTTGTATTGATAGAGCTCTGAGTGATTCCTTGCATGTTACTTGAATTTTGATGCTTTTGCAGATGCATGTTAGTTTTTTCAATTTTGGAGTTTATTTGTATTAAAAAATATAAAGAAAAAAAGGGGCAGGGGGTGCATTAATTACATTTTCCAGAGTTAGATATATGTTGTATTGACGGCCTACATGCTTAAAATTGTGACTATAAGTGGCACAAAGATATGGTGTTGTCTTTAACGTGGTCTGGTTGTATATATTTTTATTGTTTTTTGCGAATAATCATAAATAAATTTTTTTAGTTTGTTAGTTAAAGGAAAAAAAATATTAATATGAACTTTTATATTTGGAAGAAGTGAATGAAGAAATGGCACTTCTTTGAACTTTGACACCCGAGAAAGTTAAAATTTAATTGTCCTATAATGACAGAATTCCTTCCCTTCTTCCATTCCTGTAGAATCTTCTCATATCCCTCTTTTAGGGTACCCCATTATTACACGACCCCACAACACAAAGGCTTTTATTCTTCTCTTAAAACCACGAGGTCTTTCAACCATAACAAAGTAGCTATATTGGTGCAGCATCATAGAAATTCAAAAAGCCGAAAATAAATTGAACATAATATGTAAAGCAATGAACAGTGCAAGAGAATATAATCTGCACTCTCACCTTCTCTCTTGCGCAAAATGCATTATTGAGGATATAAGCACATCCTTGGTCCTTTCTTTGAATGGTTTCATTAGTATTGATCTTTCCCTGTGCAGTTTCCCTAGACAAAATTTCACCCTACACAAAAACCTAGGCTTTCATATCATCTTTGAGGCATAAAGAGTAGAGATGTTGGGAGTCATAAATCAACTAATAGAAAAAAGACTTAGATGAGAAAGTTCCTAATTTCTAAAAGATCCACTGTCCTTTTCCTCCTTTATTGAGCAAGGCTTCTATGATTGAAGGAAGTGAAACTGTTCTCTAGCCTATGCATCATTAATATTACGAGGGAATTTAAGATCCCAATAGAAAAGTCTGCTTGGTTGACAACCTATGAAGGTGCCTCCCTTATCCATTTGTCTTCCCAAAATACAATTTGATTCCCCTTTGCCAATAGCTAGTGTTACATGAGACAAGAACAAGCCTTAACTTTGACAGGGAAAATTCTATGGTATGAATCCAAGCACTTGACACCACTTTTGGTGTTGCAACCATTCTTATGAAGTCTAGACTTCAGATAATGACGTTTTATACAGAGGTGTTCTGTGAAGGAACATCCATCAATTCCTAGCAATGCCTCATCCCTGTGAACGAAGTTATCCACCCCCAAGCCCCTTTTATGAACATCTTGAGTAACCGCTTTTTGTTTCTTTTCCCAATTCCTTCCATACAAGGTCTTGTTTAAGGTTTTTCAACCGCTTTAACTCATTGATGGGAATACATTTAAGGAGATGAATTAAGTGGGAAAGACAAGAGAAGACATTGCAAACTACTGAGCCTCCTACCTTTAGGAAAACAATTTTCTCCAACCTTCTAATCTCTATTCTCTGCTTAATCCATGAATGGACTCCAAAAACTTTGTTTGAAATCTGAGTAGGCCCTAATTGGACTAAAAGTCTACATAAGTTTGAATGCACAAATTTGAATAATATGTTTTTTCCTTTCTTTTTTAAATGTCTTTGTATAAGTCTTAAGTTGCTTCATTTGACAAACCATATACATCTAAAGTCAATATTTTTGACATGTATGTACACAAAAATGTGAAGTGTTACATATCTCTGCATTTTATATTTAATGAAAAAATAATTGAAATTGAAATTATATCTTATTAAATATTATACTACTGGATTCTTTGATTATAATATGTGATTTTCTTTTGTTTAAGCATTTTGATTAAACAACGATTTTTAGAAAAAAATTATCAGATGTCATGTTATTTTATGTATAAATATAGAAATATAAAAATGCTTAATAAGAACTGGACTTTTAGAAATAGTAGAATTATTGGTGAGTCAAACACAAGTTCTATTGAGTTAAAAAAGCACAAAAAATAGAGTTCTCATTGAATAGGAAATAGATGAATCTCATAGTTGTATTTTTTATTAAAATTGAAACCAAGACCTTCATTATTCAAACTAATACTAAAAATGTGTAACAATCAGTATGAAGTTAGAAAAGAAAAGTAGTATAATATCTATTGGACTGACATTTAACCTTCAGACCTGAAAACAAACAACATATAACATCTATTAGTCACTTTTTGAAGGCCTTACGAGGCACTTCTTTGGTCAATCTCTCACCTCAGCTCACCCTAGAAGCTACCCTGATCAACCTGCTCTCTTGAAAGTTAACATTGTAAAATGAATCTTTTAAGCATGTTGAATTTTTAGATGAATAAATTACAATACTGCTCAATGGTATTAATGGTATGGTTTAGCTAGATTATCCCTGAATAAAATATCATTGTATCAACTTTGATTTCTTGCTACAACAACCTCTACCAAGTTAACCTCCTTAGATCAATCTTCCACCTGGCTAAAAGAATCCATTGATCAAAGTAAAAACAAAAGGAGAAAGTGCATCCCCTTATCTTAAATCCCTTTAAGTTTTTCTTGACTTTCCATTCAAGAAAGTTGAGAAATTGACAGATTATCATCCACAATTAATTTGCATTATTGTAGGTCAAAGCTTTTAATTTCCTTGATAAAGTCTAGGAAACTCTCAATATACGTAATTGTATGCTTTCTAGAAGTCTGTCTTAAGAACTAAATCTTCTTCCTGTTTTTCCTTGGTCCTCTAAAAATCCCACTGGCAATTAGTCCAGCGTCAAACATTTTTTTACACTTAACAAAGAGTTTTGTGCTCTCAAAATTGTTTAAATCTTTTCTCTGCTCATAGCCAATGCTTTTGCTAACACCTTATAAAAAGTTGTGGGTGGGGTCATGGGTCAGTATTGAATTTTATGAAACAGTGTTCTACAACAAATTTGTACAATAATACCAAATGTTGGCCTCTACTTATGTGCTATTTTTTTTTTATTTCCTTATCGACTTGTTGAAAAGTAAAAATAAAAAATAAAACTTTCTTTTCTTTTCTTTTTTCCCCTTTTGTTGTTAATAGTCTCTGGTCAATTCTCTGCTTATTTTGATATTTACTGTTGTACGCAGCTAGTTGTAAGAGGGTTTGTTGGTTCCCTTTGTTATGAAATTTTTATCTCTGCTAGTTTGCGTATCTGCCATAGTGGATTAAGTCAAATACTTTATGTTTATACCTATGGATGATAACATCAAACATAATATCTGTAGTGCCCACACCTGTATGCATCAGGTTTTGGCCATGGTGTGACAACATCTTAAACATAATACATGCGCTCTAACTAGAGTTTTGTTGCAAAACCTGATTTTGATATTCGATATGTAAAATCATTTTCACATGACATTCCTTTAACATGTATTTAGCATTTTGCTAATCATTTTCATCATTGAATTTTTGACTTAAGTGCTGTGATATCTCACTATTGCTCTTTTGCCCCCAACTTTGTTACTTGTTTCAGGACTTACTTGGGTGTTATCCCTTTCGGAGTAAAACACACCAAGATGAATATAGCCCAGAAGGTTTATGTAAAGCTGCAATGTTTGCTTTGCTCGTGACGGAGGAGCTCAAGTCATGGCCAGAGCAAAGCACTCGGACGAGAAGTTGGCTTACTATACCTGTAGCAGTTGAGAGTTGCCGGCATCCATGGATGAGAGAAGCCCTTGAGGATGGGTTCTGTAAGTGGCATGCAGATAAGATGAAGAATGCAAAGGGATGACGTTGATAAGATGGAAAGTATAAACGGATATCATCATGATCAAAATTAATTCGCAAAGTGTGGATAGTAGGTGCATTATCACTAGCATTTGTCTAAACTTTTAGGCAGTTTCTTTAATTGATTGGTCATCGGTAACAAAAGAGTTGCAATGACATTGTTGTTCAGGATGATATAGTTTCATGTTTTTGGTTTGTTTTTATGTTTCTGGGTCAGCCTCTGGTTACTATACTCTCTGAGGAAATATATTAGAGGGCTATTTTCAATTTTTATCATATTGGTTTCTAGCCTTTTAAGTGCTCAGTGATGTATCATTTTTTTTATGCAAGTTTGGCCCATTTATGTGCCTCATTTTTCAGTATTACACTAATGAAGAAATGTAAAAAGGAAATTTGGTATGTCAAAAACTCAACATGTGTTTGTTGGTTTCATTTTGCTAATGTTGTGACCTATCCTATGTACTTAACATTTTTCTTGATTTATATAGAAATTTAAATTTTCAACACATCATTCTCATTTTCAGTATTAAGTAACACTATTATATAAATGGAAAAGGAATATAAGGAAATTTGATATATTAAAACATTAATATAATTTTGAAAAGTCTCATTTATGTTATTGACATCTTTTATTAGATTATTAAAAGTTGAGATAAAATTAAATGAGTAGATAGAGTTCTTTACACAACATAATATTAATACAAAATGTGTTCGATATAAATATTGATCTTACAACAAATGATAAAATGATCTATTTGACATTTCTAATGCCAAAGAATTGTTCTTTGAGTTTGAGTTGGTTGAAGTGGCTTCTATTCTATGGTGTTTGATATCAAATTAATGGCCAAATATTATAACGGATTATTGTTGGTGGGGTTTGGTTTAAATAAGATTTCAGGTGTTGAGAGAAGCGGTGCTGATGATGGTGGCCCAGACAATCTCGTAATAACCTGCAGATGATTCATGGGATTCAAGATGAAATATTTTTAAGATATCCGCAGTCTCGCTATCGTCAACTGCTATCCTCGTGATTAAACTGAAACATACTTCAGCAACATCAGAAATCTCCAAAATCTGCTGGCACTTTTAACGATTTCTGCCGAAACATGTTTTAAGAGTGGAATTAAATGTTGTGATTATGTTCTTCTTCACAACCTGAGAACAAATATCCCTTGTGTATATGAAATGAGTTTGGTGCTATGAAATAGATTATCAGATTCATTACAACATTTGCTAAGAAATATTAAACCTAAAACATTAACATAAGGAGAGATTGAATCATTTCAACAATAAATTATATCTACACACTATAAAGGGGCAATAAAGCACCTCAGTTCAATGAATTCCATTTCAATCTATTGACTCAACTTCATCTCATAACTTGCTGGAAAAAAAAAAAAGCTATTTTGCGTTCGGGTTGTTGACACCGGATAACTAGTGTGTATTGCCAAACCCTTTTTCAGGAAAATTAGAAGCAAGTGCGTGAATTGAGGGTTACAAAAACTAATGCTGATAACTCACAAAGATCATAATGTTTAATTTGTACAAGATACATATAAACGACCATATATATACCTTGAAAGCTCATCAACTAACCACGACAATCTGTGAAATACAATGGCCTACAGCTATCTCTTTACCTGGCTGCTCTTGCATATCCTATAAATTAACGGCAACGCGAGCCAGTTTCTCCACCATTTGCTCTGTATCCATCTATATGTAGTTCTGTACTTCCATTTTATTGACAATATAAATTCCCTTGTAGCCGCCTCACTGCATATACTTTTCAGTAAAAATCTGATCATGCGATGCAGTGGAGTTGCCCCACCCACTTCTATTGAACCAGGATATTGGCTCTCATAGCTTTAGTGGCAAAGTACAAGAAATGTTGAAAGCAGTCATGAAGCGCCTGTCCTATCAGATGAGCTTTCATCAACAACAATATCAGCCGGATCACCAATCCATGGTCTCCCTTCCCTCCACTGAAACTTAATCCTTAACTTCCCGTTTGCATCTACCCCAACCACCTGCCCCCTGCTTGCATGAGTCTCCATTCCCCAACCCCATCGTGGAGTCACTAACCCTTCTCTTATCCGCACTTTGTCCCCCACTTTGAATGGCCGAACCCGTTCCATTTCCCATGCTTTGCAGAGCCAGAGTCGCTCCATAAAGCAGAATGCCACCCATAGTTCCCCATTTTCCATTCGATGTACCACTCCGATGCTCGTATGACTTACCTCTCCCCACTGGTAAGTTGGAGTTGTAACAGATGCTTTAACTCTAACCCAATCACCAATTTGGATTTCCTCTTCCTCTACTACCTCCACCTCCGCTGGATCAAGCATCCAAGTTTTGGAGCCTGCTGGAGTATATATTCTCAGCTTGCCGTCAGCATCAATTGCAGATATTGTGCCAATGCTTGCATGGCTATGGCCTGACCATCCAAATCTTGGGTGTTTCACAGTTAATTTAACCCTTACCCTTTGCCCAATCATCAGCCTCTGCACTCTTTCAAGATGAGCTGTAGGCCCCACCCACCTTTCTTGCTCTCCACAAAATCCAACAAAAGTGCTTCCATCCCAATCATCTTCTTGGTACCCCATTCCTTGTACAATACCAATATTACCTGGCCCAACAGATTTCCAAGTATTGGCAGTTTCTCTCACTCTCACCCATTCTCCCACTTCAAACGTCTGCTCTATCTCAAGATCAACAGGATCTCCTCTCCACAACCCCGGCAAACCAAAGAAGGCTACTCTTACTTCTCCATCAGCATGAACACTGGTAATAATTCCCCGTGAATTTGGTTTAGTACCTCTCCAACCCCACCTTGGTTCACCCAATCCAGCTCGAAAACGTACATGCTGCCCGATTTTAAAGGACTGGACCTTTTCAACATCTGTGTAATGAGTAATCCACTTCCCTTTACGAAAACAGCAAGCCAACTCTAGATAACCAGTCTCTTGTACACTATGCACTACAGCTAAACTTTCCTTCCCTATAGTGTTCCAATCATAACTTGGTCTAGTACCCAGGCTTGGTTTTGAACGTACCCAATCACCNGAGTTTGGTGCTATGAAATAGATTATCAGATTCATTACAACATTTGCTAAGAAATATTAAACCTAAAACATTAACATAAGGAGAGATTGAATCATTTCAACAATAAATTATATCTACACACTATAAAGGGGCAATAAAGCACCTCAGTTCAATGAATTCCATTTCAATCTATTGACTCAACTTCATCTCATAACTTGCTGGAAAAAAAAAAAAAGCTATTTTGCGTTCGGGTTGTTGACACCGGATAACTAGTGTGTATTGCCAAACCCTTTTTCAGGAAAATTAGAAGCAAGTGCGTGAATTGAGGGTTACAAAAACTAATGCTGATAACTCACAAAGATCATAATGTTTAATTTGTACAAGATACATATAAACGACCATATATATACCTTGAAAGCTCATCAACTAACCACGACAATCTGTGAAATACAATGGCCTACAGCTATCTCTTTACCTGGCTGCTCTTGCATATCCTATAAATTAACGGCAACGCGAGCCAGTTTCTCCACCATTTGCTCTGTATCCATCTATATGTAGTTCTGTACTTCCATTTTATTGACAATATAAATTCCCTTGTAGCCGCCTCACTGCATATACTTTTCAGTAAAAATCTGATTGTGCGATGCAGTGGAGTTGCCCCACCCACTTCTATTGAACCAGGACATTGGCTCTCATAGCTTTAGTGGCAAAGTACAAGAAATGTTGAAAGCAGTCATGAAGCGCCTGTCCTATCAGATGAGCTTTCATCAACAACAATATCAGCCGGATCACCAATCCATGGTCTCCCTTCCCTCCACTGAAACTTAATCCTTAACTTCCCGTTTGCATCTACCCCAACCACCTGCCCCCTGCTTGCATGAGTCTCCATTCCCCAACCCCATCTTGGAGTCACTAACCCTTCTCTTATCCGCACTTTGTCCCCCACTTTGAATGGCCGAACCCGTTCCATTTCCCATGCTTTGCAGAGCCAGAGTCGCTCCATAAAGCAGAATGCCACCCATAGTTCCCCATTTTCCATTCGATGCACCACTCCGATGCTCGTATGACTTACCTCTCCCCACTGGTAAGTTGGAGTTGTAACAGATGCTTTAACTCTAACCCAATCACCAATTTGGATTTCCTCTTCCTCTACTACCTCCACCTCCGCTGGATCAAGCATCCAAGTTTTGGAGCCTGCTGGAGTATATATTCTCAGCTTGCCATCAGCATCAATTGCAGATATTGTGCCAATGCTTGCATGGCTATGGCCTGACCATCCAAATCTTGGGTGTTTCACAGTTAATTTAACCCTTACCCTTTGCCCAATCATCAGCCTCTGCACTCTTTCAAGATGAGCTGTAGGCCCCACCCACCTTTCTTGCTCTCCACAAAATCCAACAAAAGTGCTTCCATCCCAATCATCTTCTTGGTACCCCATTCCTTGTACAATACCAATATTACCTGGCCCAACAGATTTCCAAGTATTGGCAGTTTCTCTCACTCTCACCCATTCTCCCACTTCAAACGTCTGCTCTATCTCAAGATCAACAGGATCTCCTCTCCACAACCCCGGCAAACCAAAGAAGGCTACTCTTACTTCTCCATCAGCATGAACACTGGTAATAATTCCCCGTGAATTTGGTTTAGTACCTCTCCAACCCCACCTTGGTTCACCCAATCCAGCTCGAAAACGGACATGCTGCCCGATTTTAAAGGACTGGACCTTTTCAACATCTGTGTAATGAGTAATCCACTTCCCTTTACGAAAACAGCAAGCCAACTCTAGATAACCAGTCTCTTGTACACTATGCACAACAGCTAAACTTTCCTTCCCTATAGTGTTCCAATCATAACTTGGTCTAGTACCCAGGCTTGGTTTTGAACGTACCCAATCACCAACTTCAAATCCTGAAAGCCGTTCTGCATCTCCAGGAGAAACTCTCCACAAGCTATGCCTGCCAGTAACTCTTACCTGCAAAGAAATAACCAAAATGCTACTGATATAAAATAGATAGGTTTCATAAAATCTACAGAGCATATGTACACAGATTTTTCTCCCAGGTCAGCAAGTTTCAAATTCAGTGCACCTATTTAATTAAATTGTTAGAGCTTAATATTGCAATGCATTCATTAATGGTGAGTTTCAGCATGAATCGTTAATTAGCTAGTGTAATAATTCGCAAAGAGAAAATGAATCACAAACTAACACCCTAAGAGCTTGTAAACATGCATATGGGTCAGAGATAAGCATGCTTACATTTAGAGCTCCGTCCATGTCAATCCTCTCAATTTTTCCAACAGTTGCAGGAGTTTCATTTGACCATCCAAGCTTGGGCTGAGTGACAGATGGCATAACATGAATCTCTTGCCTAACTTCAAAAGGAGGTACTTTCTCCACGTCCGTTACAGAGCAACTAAAAGGCTTGCTCCTGAAGCAGAAAGCAACACCGATATCACCATCGTCCTCCAAGCTATGAATTATTCCGATGCTGTTACGTGTTATGTCCTCCCATCCATATTTGGGGGAAGATACAGATGCTTTTACTCTTACCCAATCCCCAACCTATTATGAATGAGCAGACAGATTTACACAGAAGACAAATATTAAAACACCACCTCAAATATTCCAAATCTGACATAAAAAATAAGGACTTGTCATATGTTACCTTGAAGTCCTCAACCTTCTCCATGTCAGAAGGATCAGCCTGCCATGGTATTGGTCGATTTGGAATTTCAATTATTAGCAGACCATCATTCTCTATCTCACTAATCTTTCCAACACTATGATGGGTCTCACCGCCCCAGGCATATCTAGGTTCTGCAACAGATCGCTTCACGCATACCCTGTCACCAATCTGTAAAAATAAACTGATTAAACTTTCTTTCAACCAACAAAAATACGTAACTGGGCAATGTATGTATTAACAGTATCCAAAGAAGCAAAAGGGAAAATTTTCCCATACCCTGAAAGGGGCAACTGGCTCCACCTCTTCTGGTTCACAATGCCATGGATTTGGAAGATAGCTCAGTTCTAACAACAGACTACTATCTGGTCTCACACAGTACACTATACCAATGCTCCCTGGTGTTACAGATCCTAAACCATGCTTTGCAGTAGTGAGCGTTGGGCGAATACGAACCCAATCTCCAACCTTGAACTCTTCAACTCTTTCCATCTCTGCAGGATCAGCTTTCCATCCTCTGGATGCTCCAGGAAATCCAACACGCAGGATCCCATCGTCATCAACACACAACACAGTTCCAATACTGTCACGAGATTGGCCACGCCAACCAAACCTGAAAATACAGCAGGATCAGCCATCAATTACAAATGTACAAATTTTATTTAATACTGGCAAAGACAGACTTGGACAAGGTAAATTACCCAAAACTGACAATAGATATGCCTTCAAATAATTTATAGAGGGATCTAAAATCACACAGCAACTATATAATTAACATAAGCCTGCTTAAGGATCATAATATAATGTTTCCTTAGTTAAATCCCATGTTTGACTGAAATGTTGCAAACATGAGCAACACTTATATAATGTGTGTGTGCGTGTAGCAAAATAAGACTCCACCAAGTAGCAAATTAAATGCAAAAAAGGTGTAAGAAAACGGTGTTCAAAATAAAAATTTGAAGATTCAAAGAGGTTAAGTCAAGGTGATCCTCTTTCACATTTTTCTTGTACCTAGGTTTTAGGTGTTTCGGTCCACTTGATAATAAGCCTCTAAAGTCTAAGCTAGTTGAAAGCATTTCAGTTGGAAGTGATGAGGTGGGTGCTTCAATTCTACAATTTGTTGACGACAATCTATCACTTTTGGCTTGATTTCAGGTCTCAGGTTGACATGTCCAAAAGTCTTATTACATGAATTAATACATAGGAAAGTGAATCTCATGCCAGCTAATAGTAAAGGCTGGTTTATGGCAGCTCATAAAAGTATTTAGCTTTACCACATGTGACTAACCTCGATCTTTGAGTTTTTCAATCGTGTTGTCAACAAGGTAGGGAAAAGGCTAGAATAGTGCAAGAAAGCTCATATCTTGTTAAGGGGAGCTTACTCTAATCCAATCAATCTACTCGGGTTTGGCAACTTACTTTCCAACCCATTCTATATTGTTTCCAGGTCGCAATTATAACTGGGGAAAAATACAAAAGTTTATAAAAGAGAATAAGATTTTATAAGCAACCAGAATAACAGAGTCCTCAAGAAAGAACAAAACCACAAAAAATAGACTTAAAACCATTCCAGCCCAAGTATTCAGCAAAATTGAAGTTACTTGCAATATCAATTTTTTTTTTTTTTTTTTTTTTGGCTTTCAACAAAAGTGGGATTGACAAGGGAGCCATAATTTCAAGATGTATTTCAAATGTGATTGTCTACATCAAATGTCGTGTGGGAGAATTGATAAACATGTGCATCACTTTTTCCTGAAAAGAAACACTAATTTATGTTTGTTTGTGAATTTCATCAGGCAGCGAATATCAGCCTTGTGCAGCTCTTTATATCTGGAACGTTTTCATGCTTTTGGTAAAGGAGATATGGCCAAAGGTTTGTAAAAATTGAGCAGTATTGGCTACTATATGTTGAGTTGGCAGGAAAGAAAATAATAGAAGCTTTGAAGGAGCTTTAAGTAGATATTATCTTTTGTCTAATATAGAAATTGTCTCTATCCACTTAAATTAGAGAAGAACAGAAGAGTTTTGGACTACTTTTGTGTATTTGAGATTAAATTTCAAGCTACTTGAGAGGCTACAAATTTTTATTTTCTTTTTTTTTTTATTGTTTTGACAGATGTTCTGTATACTTATACTCTGTTAAGTTCTTCTTAGTTTTTTGTAAACAATCAGTTCATTTTTTTTACAAATGGCATTTTATTAGTACAAGTCTCCTTTGCTTCTTATTGAATTATTTAAAAAAATAAAGGTAAGAAGCATAATATTGACAACAATAAGTCTATTTAGATATCCATGGAACATGAAGCATGCATAACATCCAAAGAAGAGTATTTATATTAGGTACCATATAAACATTGCATAAGTTTCAAGTATGATGACAAGTACCACAGGAAAGGAGGATAATAAAAAATTTGATTATCAGCCTAGTAGCTTTGGCAAAAAAGAACTAGGATATAGCACAAGTATATTATCTAAAATGTAAGCAGCTACTCCTAAAGGCCCAGTTCAATCCCTATTTCTTGTTTGAAGCATACTTTAAATACCAAGTCTATTGCTGTTATAGCTGGGAACAAAGCTATTTTAAAAATTATGTCATGACATAGAACCTCTATTGTTTTAAAAGGTGTCAGTACACGCTTGTTATAAAATTTTCATTAATCAAAACTAAATTAGTCAATGCTTTGGAAACACCAATCCATGAGGGATTAGTTGGACGGCTAAACCTATGGTTTGCTCCCACAAGATACGGGGTTAGAATTCCCTCATGGGCACCAACATGACAAAAGGCCATCATTTCCTGCCTCCCAAAGATAGTACAGTTCAGTGGGGGCACCCAGTTGCGAACGTAGGTTCGTAATGCTAGTTTGGGCGATTTCTGAATTATCAAAAAATAAAAAAAAAAATTCCTAGGAACCACCAGCTAGGCTATTTAACATTGTGGAAAATATTTTACATACTAATCAAGGAATATAAAGTATAATAACGACAGAGCACCAGTAACATTTTCTGTAGACAATCAACTCACTCTCTACTGAATTTATAATATACGTCTGAAATTACTTGAAGTCCCCTCAAGGTCAAGAGTTGTGAGGTTTTTTTCTTTTATTTGTCCCTATAAGAACAGAAAAAGTTGCACCAAAAGACGGAAGAAGGTACAAAAGTGAACCAGGGGTCCACAGGAACACTGGAAACAGCCACTAAGAGGAAAAATACTACATATGTCATATCAAAAGAGGGTCTACATACAGATAATTACAGTTTGCTCTAATTGAAAATACAAAAGGCAGAATGAAAGTTTCCAAAACCAGTGGAGAACCATAAATAGTTTTGTTAAGTTCAAACACTGACTTCAATTAATTGCCCACAGCAATTTGTAACCGTTTGCTACTTATTAAGAGTGCTTGTACAATATTATATGTAAACACTTTCAGCTAATTAAAGACTCCAGCACCAATAATTTTTCCTTCAAACTTATCAACTAAGAAAAAAATAATTTGACAAACAAGACAAATAAAAACTACCAATAAGAAAAACTATTTTGAATCATTTCATTCACTCATTTTGGTTGTTTAGCACGATTACAAGCCACATAGACCACAAAAAGTTACAGCTAGAGAAGCAGTTGAAACAGGTTCCAAACAAGAATGAATACTAAATAAATTTTACTATGCAAAATTATTTTTCTTATGAAAAAACAACTGAAATTTTAAGGCTAACTAATCATTTTCCAATAATAAGAAGATCATGCCATAACATGATTAGATTGGCAACCTTAACGTTATTATTTTTCCTTTTCTGAGTATTAGTCCCAATGGACTGATCATATTCCATAGATCAATTTAAGAAATATTAAACTTAGTAACATGCAATTTGCATTTTCTATGAAAAGCTATAATCATGTTAAAAATATTTTTCATGTATATTTAACTGGAAACCACATATCAGAAACTGTATAGGTCCAAACCTTGGCTCTTTGACATCTGGTCTTAGCTGGACATGCTGTCCCCTGTCCAGCGGAATCAACTTTATAACTTCATTTGCCAAAACATGAGCCTCTCCAGAACAAAATGAAGCAATAAGATTGTCTTTGTCAATGACACTTTGCACAAAGCCAACACTTCTAGGCTTTGCACCTTGCCACCCATGGGTAGGAGTTGTAACACTTCTTTTAAACTTAATCCAATCACCCACTTCAAATCTGAACAAAATTGAGAATTCAAGTCATAATGCATTTTACTATTAAACAAGAAAGCATAAGAAAATAAGATAATTTATCCAAAAGCAAGCGTCAAAATACAATCCATCCTCACATTGTAGGAGAAAGATGAACTCCCCTATTCATTAGTGCCTCCATTAGATCTTCAGAAATCCATTCCCGGGGAAGGGCCTCCAAAAAGTCACGTAATGTTTTACCACTGTCAACAATACATACCTACAAGTCAGCTGGAAGGTAGAGCTAAATATTTCATCTTGGAGCAAAGTAGGATCTTCTAATCAATGTCTCAACAAGTAAACCACAGTAGATGAAAGAACAATAACAACGGACACAGACTTCAATAACTCTAATCTAAAATGGGCCAGAGTAGCCAACTTATTCAAAAAGGCATTTTCATGTGACTGGACATGGCGTATACCATATTTATTTTATGGAAAAAAAAAAAAAAAAACAACCTTTAAAGAAAAACAAAGACTGGCCCTCTATGCTTCAGGTTAGAGAGAACGGAGGGGGTTTGACAGTATTTTTCATAAGGCAGTATACACACATCCCTTATAGGCTTCGACAAAAGGAATTTGGAAGACGACAAAAGGGATGATGATGAGTCATTATGGGATTAAAAACAGTTTCTGGGCTTCCATTTTTCCTGAATTTAGGTACATCTAATTCCTCTATTCACCACAACTGGGAAGCAGAAGTTGTTTGTCAAGAGGAGGTTACCTATTTTGATATGTGAGAATACCTCTTTTTGTTTATAGATTTTTGAATGTTAAAATCTTGCAGACCCTTGAAGGATTTGGAGTTTGTATTTTTTGAGCATAAATTATTAATCCTCTGGTAAATCTCTTTATATGGGAGGAGAAGAATTGTGCAACATATTCTAGCATATTCGACTTTGGGTCACTGTTCAAGCTGATGTCTGTTTCTCAAACATTAACCATAGATTCTCTCTATCAGATCTCTAGGTTCTCTGTTCGAAGAAAATTTTACCAGCTACATCTCATCAAAATCCAGACTCACTGTGTTCTAGCTCTAACAGTTCAAATGATTAAAAACATCCTAGAATATCAAATTTCAGAGTAACTCTGTGTATGTATATATCTTAATCTAGGTAATCATGATGAAATTAAGTTTAATATAAAAATTCAACAACAAACATACACAGTGATGATATTTAAATTCGATAATATGAAGAATAGTTCCATGTAGATCCAATTAAATGTTACAATTTTCATGCTTTCTTCTTTAAAAACATCTGGAAGACAGAAGGTAAATTCAATTTATTTTTCAACAAGACAATGGAAGAGTGCTGCAAATTTTAAATTTTTATTGTGAAGATTTGATATCATCAGTGACTTAACTCTAGAATCTCCAGAGAGTAAACAAGACACATGAAGAAGGTTAATAGAAACTACTTGCCTGTGGTTCCTAACTTCAACAGCAGCATCTGGATTACTGAGCATAAGAATGAGCCATTCAAGGTTTTCACGTATCATTTTTGCAGCATCCGCTGCTATATGGAAAGCATTATCACCTTCATCATCCTGAAATGATGAGGGAAGACACTGTAAGTTAGGATGCAAAAAGTATCACAAACTTTGCAGGAGAAGCAAGAGATTGCCAAATGAAGTATACACATAATAGCAAACTAACCAATATTGTCAATTGATCTTATTTCACTCTAATTAACTTGGTGTTGGAGCTGACCACAAGATGACTTCAGAGATAAAATTTTTGAATAATAATTGAATTACAATAAAAAATTCAAGACTAAATTGGGGATGTTGAGGAAATTGCATTTGCAAGACAGTATCTATTTTCCTTGACTATTTAATCAACTAAGGAAAATTAAAAATGTTAAAGATGATGGATCAAGCATCCAAAAATTAAATTGTCAAAGAAGCAACAATACCATATTGTTTTTTAAAAAAAAAAAAAAAAAAAATTATGGTCTTTATATTAAACCTTTGGATTTTAAGGAGGATTGCTTTGGTTCGAAAACCTACCCCCGAAACCGGGTTCCCTTTTCTTTTTAAGTATATAAGCTTTAGTAAATATATGTAGTTATACAATGTTTTTGTAAAATCAGAAATCTTAAATTACTATAAGGTCAAAAATATAATCTATTTTGCCAAACAGACAATATAGAAGATGAGAAATCAATAACCATTTTTCTAAAGGACTTCTTTCCCAAATTTGAGCTCGGATATTTAACAAATGGAATTTGCCCACACGAAGCTTTCCCAAGAAGTAGCTCATTGAATCAGATTAGATAAATTTTACCTAGCATTATTAAACAGACAGAATAAACTATTCAATTCTGAATAACCATAAATCAAATATCAGACCCAGCATATAAATAAAGGATTCCAAGCATGAGTAACTTGCTTTAGGTGTATATTAAATACCAATTTCATTTAACACTCTGTAATAACAGTTCTGAATTAAAAAGGGGGAAATAGAACCTGCAAATTACAATTGGCCCCTGCAGATAAGAGCAACCCGACACACGACTTTGCGCCTCTAGCCAATGCTACATGAAGGGGTATTGTATTGTGCATGTTCCGGATGTTCACATCCACTCCAGCATCAAGAATAATCTATTTAACATTTGGACAATAAACAATTATTAAGCAGAAACCAGAACAAAACACAAAAAGTTCCATGAGTTCACATCTGCTTCAGATGCTCACAGGCATCAGTTACCCTAGAAGTACTATGAATGTAATTGTAGAGAATGTATACGACTTACTTTGACCAACTCAACATCATTAGCCATAGCAGCAATATGCAATGCTGTCCGATTCTGTGCATCGTGGGCGGTTGGATCTGCTCCAGCAGCAAGCAATATTCGCACCAATTCTCTCCCCTCTGGAAGTAAATATACAAATAAATTAAATATAAAATCATCGAATTAAAGTGAAGGGATAAAGAGCATTAAAACAAGGCTGAGACAATGCAGTGCAACAAATAGAATCAGAAAGTAAATGAAAACTTAAAACACGATACAAACTAAAAACAAAAACTTTATGGCAAGTTTCTGTAAAAATTTGACCATCTCCAGAGAGGCAGCGACAGGAAAGGGAACAAAATTGCCCATAAATTATCATTTCAAAATGCTTATTTTTGTCTCATCTTCCACAATACAGTATCATCAAGCGCTTCATCCAGAGGTCTATACACTAATTAACTACAAGTTGTTCATCAAACATATTTTGAACAGGACTAATCAAGCTTGATAGTGATCATTATAATTAACTAGTGACAACTGAAAGAAATGACGCTCAATCTTGTTTCCATGGATGGTAAAATGGCAGATTAACTTGGTAAAAGAAATTTCTCAACCTTCAGCTCTGCAGTTACTAATCTATATATAATTCAATTAAAAAGTTTGAATTCTTCAGGATTTTACTTTTTATTTTAAATATGACTAAACCAAGTGCTTCTGATTTACTGCTTCCTAGAATGAGAAGTGATAATTATAAATACAATCATTTGTATACTTTTAGAAGTTTTATGCACATCGCCTAATTAATGGATTGTTATGGTGTATATATGTGGTTTGGTACCCTCCTTATTTGAGTTAGCTTTTGGGAGTGAGTTTTATCCAAGCCCATTTATATATATGAGAACATTAGTTTACCTCCGTTTATTTTGTCTAATATAAAATAATCTTGCAAGTAATCAAAGAGGTAGGAATAAAACAAAACAAAGTCTCAAGGGCTAAAGAAACAACTTTTAACCAACACAAGAACTCCACAAAACTCAAGAATTTTAAAGAATAAAATAAAAAATAAAAAGAAACTGACATGTTATCAGGCATTTCTTTCAAATACTTAAATATTTTAAGCTTATGGCCTTCCCAAGTCATAAAATAACGATTAGAGAACAGGATAGAAGCTCTATTGAGTTGCTTTTAGCAAGGACTTTATAGTCTGCATAATGGAGCAATGTAAACTCAAATTTTATTTCGGTGTTCATATACACAAGATTTTTGAGTTTTTTGTAAAGATCTAATTCTCCTACAGTGGACACCTAGTCCATCTTTGTATCTTTTTTTTCTATACTTACTAGTATTTCATATTAAAATAATAATAATAATATCACATGATTATATCTATTGTTAAGTTACCACTTGCACCAAAAATTCAGCAAATAAGTATGGGTCTAACAATAGTATTTAAGCTTTAACATGTCCCTTAACGTGCAACAAAACGTCAACCAAAAATAACAATAACCAAAAAACCACAAAAACAATCATAATCACAAGCACAACTTAAAATAATTTAATACAATAGGAGATTCAGAACACAAGATCACTTCGTCAACTTGACTCTAATATCATGTTAAGTTATCACTTGACCAAATGCTTAGACATATAGGTTATAAACCTCAATAATTAGTTACATGCCTGAGCAACTCTAAAATTTTGAACATTACCAATTTCATGATCTTTCTTCAGAGCAGCCGCCATACACAGTGCCGTGCCAACTGGGCTGGGAATGTCAATGGCCTCAGCAACTTCTTCTGGAGAAGCAACTTCAACCCACCTTTTAACAACCATTACATTCCATGTTGCAACACTCAAATGCAATGGTCTGCAACATAAAAATTAGATGAGCAGCATTAATGATAGCAAAGTAAAATAATTAAATATACATTAATTTAACTGTCATCATCCAAGGAAGGAAATGTTTTAGAATGAATTGCAACAATATTGGCTCCATTTTTCAATTCCTAGAAAAAATCTTACAGCCACAAAATTATGCCACCCTAATCACACCACTCTTAACATTTAAAAGAAAAAAAAAAAAGGAAAGAGACGATAATGAATGAAAGTGAAAAAAAAAAAAAAAAAAGCGGAAAAGAATGAGTATTGTGTTTCTAATATTAATATCAACTTATGAGAAAAGAAAGCAAAAGTATATGCTCACGTCAAATCTTTTGAGTTTAGAACAGCCATTGATCTACAACCGCCATTTTCCAGTATAACTAGAGCACAATCTGTGTATTTCTTGGCAACAGCTCTGTGGAGTACAGATTCACCCTCATCATCTACCGCATTGGGATCCGCTCCAGCCAATAGCAACTCCTGATGATTAGTAGTTTATCAAATTTAGAACCTTGAAAAAATAGAGAACCCAAAAGATTCAAAAAAGAAAAAAAAAAAAAAAAATCAGCTATACTAGGATGAACTGAAGACCTACCCGCATGCAATCAGGTTGGCCATGGTATGCACAAACATGAGCAACAGATGGACCAAAGCCTTCCCGCAATCTAGATCTAACATTAGCACCTCTTTTGATAAGAGCATGAACACATTCTGGGGATCCAGCTGCTAAAGCAAAAACAAGCGGAGGATCACCATCTTTGTCCAATACATCCACATTTGCCTCTGAATATTCCAGTATAGCCTCAACCAAATCAGCGCTACCACGTCTACAAGCCAAGTGAAGGGCAGTTTGGCCATCAGGATTTTGTGCTTCCAGAAGTGAATAAATAGAGCTGCTAGAATTTCCTGATGCAGTCTTTGCGAGTAGATCCCTGCATGAACAAAGAAAAGGGAGTGAAGAAGTTAGAAAGTTGAGATTCCTTAAAATGAAAGTCAGTACAGACTGATCTGCACCAAAGCAGACTAACCTAGCACCACCAACATCCCCTTCAGAGACAAGTCGATGTAGATGGGTGGGATTGTCTTGAAAAATCTCCAAATCACAAGGAGGAGATGGCTCTGTCACATTTGATCCAGAACATTTGGTAAAGCCCCTGTACAAGACATAGAAAAAAGTAAATATTTACAATCAAGTCAAGCAAACTATAAAGGTTGATTCTTCTTTCTCTTCACACACACACACACACAAAGAAGCAGATATATGCATTATTTGAAAGAAATTAACATAAGCACTGGGAGTAGATTCACCAATGATCTCAGCAAGATTCCAATCAGACTTAAGACCTTAGCATCTAAACTACCAGAAAGCAAAGGATTTGAAGTAAGCGCGGAAAAAGGTCACATTCATCAATCACAAGTCTTACGTATCAGGACTTGCAGGAGGACTGCGCGGAAGCTCTTGCAAATGGCGGAGAAATATTGCTAACATTGCATTGAAAGTCGGTCTTTTTGATGCCTTGAACTGCAGGCACTCACCAATCATCTTCCACAATTCCCTAGGTATTCCAACACCTACTATACTTGCATACTGTGGGGGTAATTTTCGCGTTTTTACAACAGCCCGATAAATTTCCTCAGCACTTAAACCAGCCCACCTGCGCAAAGAGTGTCAACTTCTATCACGATGAAATCATACCACAAATGAGCAAAATCAGGAAGGAGGGAAGAAATTAAGACAAATATTAAGTTACTTCACATACGGGATGGAACCTGTGCACATCTCCACCAATGTACAACCAAAACTCCAAGCTTCCGATTCTGGTGATATACCTATTGCATCATCCCAAAACAAATTTAAAGACTTCTTCACTGGCTCCCATGCCTCAGGAGCTGTATAGTGTGGACTGAGCATTGTACACTCCATGCATGAATGGATCCTAGAGGAATCACACTCTGGCCGAGCTTTCCGACAAGCAGGTTTCTTCAGAATTGCAGCAAGTCCATAGTCAGAAACCACAGCTTGACCATTTACATCTAAGAGAAGATTGGATGGTTTCAGATTCATACAAACAACACCAGCTGCATGAAGTTCAGCCACACCTCGTGCAATATCTGCTCCATATCTACAATTAGAAAAAACACCATGTCACCACAAAGGCCACAGCCAGTGACTATTTACCAATCTTACTGTAGTAGAAGCTTAGAACAATGTAATGTTTATGATAAAGAAACTAAACTCAACATCATCTTTAAATGCCTCATTGTTTTCAATACCTACTTGAGAGAGTATTTATGTGCAGGAAAAAAGAAAGATGCAGGAGCCAGCTATTCAGCGCAAAAAAACTTTTACATGCTCTAATCCTGAAATTTATGAACTCTTACGCAAAAAAGGAAAATCTACCCAATACAGTAGAGCTCTAGCACCCAGTGGGTATGAAGACTTTCAATAATTGCAAATCCAATGAAGTAATAGAAGTTCACAATCATAAAGTCCCCACCACCATATTACTCCTTGAACAGAAAATCTTTTTGGTCTCGTAAATGTATTAATATTCTTAAAGTTGTTTGTCCACACTCTAGCCTCAAAAACTATACATGACAATGTGAGATGTGAAGCCACTCCCTAAAATATATATACTTGTCAAGGGGGGAACAATACATGTTCTGCTCCACATTCTAATGCCCAATTGTATGGTATAACATTCCGAATTTTCATCTGAAGTGGTTTAAGCCAAACCCAACTCAACACCAAAGATAAATATCTTTTACCAATGTATACATTATGCGGCTTGAAGGAAACAAACACCATACAACGATATTTTTGACTAAAACATCAAGTAGAATCCTCAACCTCCCTTACTCCTTGCTGAAATATGAATAGACGATACTAAATCTATTAAAAGCTCCACTCAAATTTCTAAAATTTGCTAGAAGCTGCCACTGAAATTCATAAGAAACCTCTCCTTAAACAAGTTTTTGAAAAATTACTTAATTGGGAGATCAGGGAACTTTAACCTTAAAAAGGAGTTCTTTTCCTCACACTTATATTACTTTTGTTATCAACTGGTAGAAGAAAGAAAAAAATTATAAATCTTAGATATCAAAGAGTGTTCAACACAAAACCATTCATACTGATCCCCCACTTAATATTAATCAGAAGCAAAGTAACATCATCAATCCTCAATGTTCTATAGTATAACAAGGTTTACATATCTCTCCAAAGCACTATGAACCTCCAATGGATGCAATCCTTTTTAAATCATGTTCATCCAGCGGCAGCACCATTATCATTCAAAACTGAACCCCAAAATTCCAGATCTAACCATAACATAACCAATCAATATAAAACCGCAAAGAAACCATCCCTTGCACCAAGTAATAAATTAAACTGAAGACAAAAACTCACCACACAATCCTACATCAAATAACTCTAGAACAAAGAATTAACTTAAATAATCCCTAGAGGACTTATAAATTTGCCAAGTGCAACAACTTCTCCCTTCCCCCTTAGCTTAAACCCCACAAATAACCAATCACTTCAGACCAAAGAGTAATGCTACATGTACAAACAAGTCTTACAAAGATTTGTGTACAAACTGATGTGGCACAAAATAAATGGAAGAGTGAATATGATGAGTTTTGACTTTTTATATTCACTCTTCCATTCATTTTATGCCACATCAATTCGTACACAAATCTTATAAAGATTTGTTTGTACATCCAGCATTATTGCACACCAAATATTCAATTCAAATACACAAATATATCTCACAAACTAGCATCGAAAACACATCAGTAGCAGTAGCTATAAAACCTCAACGAAACCACTGCTTCCACCAAGAAATCAATTTAAACTGAATATAGAAACTTACCAAACTCCAGAACAAAGAATTAACTTAAAAGACCACTAGAAAGGACCTTTCGATTCGTCAAATGCACTACCAACTTGATATAAAATCTACATATAGATATTCAAACATACAAAATGAATATCAAAAACATAAAATTAAGCTAAAAACAAGAGCAAAAACCTTAAAATTTGCTCCAAAGTAAGCCGTCCTTCATTCCCCTGCATCGCGGACTGAACAGACCCACTACACTTTTCCATTACAAGGCCCAAACTCCCTTCCATCCTCAAAACCCCATGAAAAGTACACACATTTCTACACCACATGGACGCTCTCCTCAGATTCTCCAGCTGCCCAACCACCCAATCCACCTCCATTTCTTCACCCACCACCACTTTCTTCAGCGCCACCTTGTGCCTACACCTCCAGTGGGCCCCACCGATCCACCCGGCCCATACCTCCACCCCCGCCCTCCTCCCTTCACCTAATTTCCTCACCAATTTCACCTCCTGATGCACCCCGATCTCGATCACCGGCCCGCACGCCCCGGAACTAGACGCGTGGGACCCTCGCCCGCTCCGTCCCAACGCCGGCACATCACCGTCGTCATAGTTCCCATCGTTATTACCATCATGATTATGACTATCCTCGTCGCCACCGTCGTCGTCCCGGTCATCGTCGTCATCATCATCGGAGGTCACATCGCTGTCGAAATTGGGGTGGGCGTTACGGTGGTTGTGGTTAGCATGTGCGGCGGCGGCCGAGAGGATGAGAGCGAGGACGGCGAAATTCTTCCGAAGCGCGCTGACGGAGTTACCGACGACGGAGACGTGGCGGCAGCGGGGGCAGGAGAGGGTGGTATCGGTGGAGGCGGAGAACATTCTAGAAAGACACTCCTTGCAGAAGCCATGACCGCATTGAAGGAGGAGTGGGACCCGCTCTTTCTCGTTGTACCGCGTTTGGCAGACGGAACAACAGGGGACTTTCATTGTGTTTCTAGGGTGAAGTGAAAAATGGAATTGAATCGGAACGACGGCGGATTAGAAGAAGATCTGGAGAGGGAAAACCGGTAGATCCATAAGAGAATTAAGGGTTTTAAAGCGAGAGAGAGTATTGAGTTGAGTTGGAGTTGGAGTTGTGTTTGGATGGTGAAGTTAAAATTGAAAAGTGCTTTTGGTTTTGCTTTTGCTTGCACTTAGGAGTTTTAGTTTTGTTTGTTTGATTGAAGTTGAAGTTGTTGAGATGAGAGTTTGAGAAAAAGGTGGAATTGGGTGTGAAAGATGAAATTGGTTGTATTTATATTTGTTCAATTATGGCAAGAGGGGGAAGGCTTTTTTTTCAATCATAGCCGTCCAATGTTGAAAATATATACGTATTTCTTATCAACTCCATGGAATAAACACTTTGATGGGTAACTTTTTACTTTACACAACATTTAATTCCAAATAGGACCAAAATATCTTTGGTGGAATATACTTTTTTTTTTCACTACTAACAATTTGTTACCAAAACAAAACAGTGATTTGCATTTTCTACTTCTAATTCTTTCGAGATGCTTTTTGTGTTCATATTTGTCATCAAGTGACATGATTTTTATTGGTATATAGTTGAGGAATAGTAGAGATTCAATCTTATTGAGTTCAGTTATACTCTACGTTTCTTCTGTAGTCTTGGGAACTCTTTCGTATATTTCTAGATTGTAAACATATTTGTCATCAAGTTTACAAACCCTCGAGAGAACCATGAAAGTTTACTGTTATACGTAATTTGATGGAATGACATGAATTATTGGTATATTCAAGGAACAATTAGAGATTTGGTTTGATTCAGTTTAATTATCGTTCTCAAACTCAAGACCAATATTAACTCAAGTCTGTTCCGTAGTAGTTTTGGAAACTCCTTTGTAGCGGCTATAATCCATGCTTGGATTTGGAGGAATCTCAAAACAACACTACTCTAATTCCATTAATCTAATATTCCTTCAGTGTCATTAACATAAAAATTTCTAGTCTATATTTTTTGTAACTCTATATATGAAAAGCTCAAAAATCATTGCATAATAATCTAGAAATTAACAAAGAAAAGGCGAAGGGCAAAGCTTTATGGTAAATTTTCAATCTTTTATTCTATTCTAGTAATCTTGTACCATCACATACGTACGGAGATAATTAATTTCGGTGTGTTTTTTTTTCTCTGGATTTTATTACATGTTTGTTATTAAGTTCAGAAACCCTCCGAGAGAAAAATGAAGTTTATATTAAATGCAACTAAAGAACAAGGGGAGATTATATCCTGTTCAATTCTCTAGACTCCTGATTAACATGAACTCGAAATTTTCTTTGTAGTCCCCATAACTTATAATAATCCAAAATTTGAATTTAAAAAAAAAAAAAACGTAATAATTAATTCCGTTTTGACTTTTTTAGTTTTTTTTTTTCCAAAATTTGAATAAAAAGGAAAAAAAAAACGAGATAATCAATTCCGTTTTGACTTTTTTAGTTTTTTTTTTTTTTTTTTCCAAATTCTTAGGGATTTATTTTGATTCAATGTGATTAAGATATCTCAACAAGAATAACTCTTTAATTAGCGAAAAAAACATTAGAAAAAGAGCAATAATTCACTTACGGCGTAATTAGTTGAAACTCTCGTTTAATATAAAATTCAAATAAAATGGATTTTTTTTTTAAAATCAAAAGATACAAAAATAATAATAATAATAATAAAATAAATCTTATGAAATTATCTTTGATAAAAATTAGTAGAATTGTTTTTAAAAACAGTGTACGAATATAATCCTAAAAACTAGTGTAAAATTAGAAAACGATTAAAAGTCATTTTTATCTAAAAACAATTTTTTGATTTTATATCAGACATATTTTCAAATATTAAAATACAACTCAAAAAGTTTGAATTGTATTTTAGTTTTTAAATTATTTTTTAAATCACAAATCAAATAAGTCTTTATTTCTTGAATCTTATTTTGATTTTTGATAGTTTAAAAAAGGAAGAGACCAAAAAAAGAAAACTTCGGCAATAGGGTTTTGTGTTGAGCAATTGAACGAGACCAAATCCATATCGATAGAATTAAGTTATTGTTGCGTATCTGTGGGTTGATTATTTTATTATCCATCATATTTAATTTTGCAATACATCAAATCATTGGGTAAAACTTACTCTCTCTCTCTCTCTCTATTTGTTGAATATAGACTTTTGAGATATTATTTAAACGGTTGTGAATTTGATTCACTTTGATTCCTAATGGGAACGATCACTGAAAGTTTACTTAACCGTTAGTTTAAGTTGGTGTATATATATATGGTTTATAACTTTATGTCATTCTTATTTTTATTTTAAGTAATTCAAAGCTACACATCATCAACTTCTTAGTTATTATTTTTTTATTAAAAATGGAAAAAAGACAATTTTATCTTTCATTATTGCCGGAAATTGTAACAGCATCACGGTCCAAGGTGGTATTTGAATATTTTTTTAAAACCTAAACCAACCAATACGTAAGTAAATCGAGAAAAATACTTAATCACCCCTGAGGTTTTAGTGGATTAATCTTGGTCCTATCCCTTGGTTTACTAGTTGCGAAGATTTTTTGTTCTGAGGATGCTAAATGGAGAGAATAATTAGAAGTTCTTACGCCCTAGGAGTTGAATACTGGTGCATGGAAAAAAAGATTTTGCTGTTGCAAATACATGGTTAGATGATTACAATGAAATGAAATCCGCATCATTGAGCTATCTGATGATGCAATATCTCCTGCATTTTTAACTAATGATGAAATATCTCCTGAATTTCGATATCTTGGACTTTGCGGATGGAGCCTGTAGATACTGTAATGCTAGGTTCACAACCCAATCTAATAATCTTCTCTTATACCTCCCACAACATGGCAACTCGTAAATAGACATGTGAGATCTATCTGCAAACTGATCAATTGTGAGCTGTCATGTCGAAGGTTGTAAAATTAGGTTGTGGACTTAACATTACTCTTACAAATATTCGAGTTGATGATGTGTGAGATTTACTCTTTGTAAACTTGAGGATTACGAGAAAGGAAAAGGCAATTGGAGAACGAAGATTGCCTAAATGATTTTGTATCAGAAAATTCAGTGTTGCTCAGATTGGCAAAAAATGAGCCCGCCTTCAGATATAAGAATGTTAGCTTTCCACCCTATTGATGTGAATATTGTCTACTAAGACATCGATTTGCAACCTACAAAGAAAAACATTGGAAGACATTGGTGAGCTTCAAGAAAATGACTGTCATTTCTATCCCATTGTTCCTCAAGACCTTAAGTGGATCTAGGTGGCCAAAGCCAATTTCTGATGATTTAGATGAGCATTAAAGTTAAGCATTTTTAAAATTTAAAAGCGAATTTTTCTCCTGAATTTTCTTGCATGTTTTAAGCTATGGTTATGGATCCATTTGTAAGTGAAGTGTAAAATTGTAGAGAATTCATTAGATTTAATTCAAGCTTTGAAGAGGTGATAAGACTAGTAATCTATTTCTGTCTACTCATCAGTTGATGTATTGGGTAGACTCATTTTTTTATTTGAGTAAACCACTTGTGTTGGATTGAAATAACAGAAAAGCTGGATTGCCAGTTCCATAGAGTGATCAAGCAGGTGGTATTGTGAAGGTTGGTTCCTTCAATTCCTGCCTAAAAGCTTTGATATTTTATCATTTTAGTTACTGGATGGATGATGTTAGATTCATAGTTTACATTTAAGATTGTTTCTTCTGGAAGACGCATATCCCTGGTGATTGGAAGGACATTCGTGTTTCCTTTTTCTTTTTAAGTGAAGTAGACATCGCCATTTGAGAAAGGAAAACGGAGCAAATTTGTGACTGCATTTGGCCTTAGTAGAATGGAACCTCTAATGGTAACTGTCATATAATTTGATAAACCAACTTTTTTAAGCAGTATATGTTTTATAATTATTATGCACCAAAATTAATTACTTAAGAAATTCTCGTGCACTAGCTCATCTTTTTCCTTTCATTCTCTTTATTTTTCCTTATTGCCAAACACACTGGTCCAGCCACCTCCCTAACCCTAATGCTCTTTCCCTCTCCAAAATCAATCGATTTTCTTATAATTTCACCGGTTTTTTATCGAAATTCATTAAATAGGAGATCTTGATTTTGATTTTTGGGAAAGAAAACGAGATATGCTCTAATAGTGGTAGCCACTAAAATTTTTATCCGATCGACAGTTCTAGGGGTCTCGAAGAATTAGTTGAGGTGCGCGTAAGCTGGGTCGAATACCCTCGATCACAAAAAAAAAAAAAAAAAAAAAATGATATGTGTTTGGATTTTGATAGATTACGATTAGATTAGGCTAATTGGTAAGACACTTTCCACTTTGTGGTTAGTTTTTAATTCACACCTCCAATTTGGACTAAATAATATTATCTTGATGAGACTATAAAGGGGATCACTTATTGTATTTTAAAGTTTTTTTTTTTCTTTTTTTTTAACTAATTCATATATTTCATGCAAACTGATGTTAATCTATTATATAAATTTCATGTTGTTTAATAATTTTTACCTCATCAATTTTTAGATCACATAGATTAAAAAAAAAAAAGCTGGTATAAATAGTTTGAAACTCTTTAAACTTGTCATCTCATATGTAGCTAAAAGTTATTTACTTAAAATAAAAATATTGTTTCTTTCAATTTATCAACTATTAATCAAATGGTAGAGCGATATCCATCTAAGGATATATGTTTGGATTTTGATAGATTAAGATTAGATTAGGCTAATTGGTAAGACACTTTCCACTTTGTGGTTAGTTTTCAATTCACACCTCTAATTTGGATTAGGGTTGCAAACGAATCGAGTTGTTCTTTCCACTTTGTGGTTAGTTTTCAATTCACACCTCTAATTTGGATTAGGGTTGCAAACGAATCGAGTTGTTCGCGAACAACTCAATGTTCATTTGATAACTGTTCGACTCGACTCGATAAGAAACTGTTCGCTAACAGTTTGATGTTCGTTTGATAATTTGTTCGATTTGAGTTCGAAAATAGGATGTTCGTTCGATTATGTTCGCGAATATAATACGTTCGACTAACTGATCCATCCGTTCGTGAACAAGCTGTTTAATTATTCGTTAGTTTATGTTCGAAAAACATGGTATACATTATTATATATATTTATATTTTTTCTTTTTTATATTATGTTTGGTTTAGTTTGAATGAATTTTTTTTAATGATAATCAATAATAAAATATTATGATGCTTTTG